ATCTCACCCAAAGCAATTCCTTGGCAGGCATTATTATGTAGCAATAAGTGTTGCTTACTTGATTTAGCATTTATATTAAACTGCTTTGTGCTGTTCGCCTGAAGAGTGGCAAAGCCACTGGAGGAAGTAGATAAACATACAACTTGCATGTGCTATTTTCTATGTATAGATGCAAATTTATGAATTGACAACATATCTCACCATTGCGGGGAAGACGGAGACCCCATTTGCCCATTTAAAGCACTCTCATGCCACTGAGCATTCATGGCTTTCCCCAAAGGATTCCTGATATGTGTAATTTGTTAAGGGTGGGGGAAATTGGAGACTCCTCCATTCCCTTCACAGACCTACAATCCACAGAGTGATTTAAGAGTCAACCCCTCTTCCCAGGGAACTCTGGGAATTGTAGCTTTGTGAGGGGAATAGAGGTCTCCAGACAATTCTCAGCACCCGCCACAAATACAGTTCTCAGGATTTGTGGGGAGGGGGAAGCCATGGCTGTTCAAAGTGGCATGATACAAGGTATAAATGCGATTTACGAGAAGCAGTAGGCTAGTCTAATAATTAATAGTGTCGGGACAGAATGCTTTCCAGTGGAGAAGGGCACCAGACAAGGGTGTCCTCTCTCACCTTTACTTTTTATATTGACATTAGAAATATTGCTGTCGGAAATAAGGAAAGACAAAGAGATTATAGGAATAACATTGGGAAAAGAGGTTTTTAAGATCAGGGCCTTTGCAGATGATATTTTGTTAACAACAGAAGAACCAGAAGCCAGTATTGCTAAAGCAATAAAGATAATATATGACTTTGGCAAGGTGTCTGGCTTTAAAATGAATATGGAAAAGACAAAACATGGTAAAAAATATGCAAGAACAAGAGCAAAAAGAACTTCAGGAAAAGGCTGGCTTACAGATTGCTGCTAGGTAGAAGTCACAAACTATACCCACAAAGGAGGAATGGATTTGTAAACTAAATGAATATTTAATTTTGGCAAAATTAACTGCTATAATAAGAAATCAGTCGAATCAAAAATTAAAAAAGGAGTGGAAATGTTTTGACGAATATATGGCAAAATATTGCTCAAAAAAACATACGCTAATATGCCTAGATTAAAATGTGAAGTATTGGATGGAAGAAAAATTAGTAAGGAAAGATAATAAGAATATACGGTATAGATGATTTGAGAAGACTGTAGAATGCAAAGATTATTGTAAATTGTGTAATGTGGAGGAAATCGAGTGGGGGGTGGAGGGAAGTGGGAGGAAGGAGAAAAGAATAATATGATGGATTGAGGAAGTATAAATGTAAATGTATGGGGGGATGGGGAGGAAATGGTGTTGGCTATGGTACACTTGTATTGTAATGTAATGTGTGAAAACCAATAAACAAACAAAGTGGTATGATACTGCTTTAAATGTGTAGTGTGAATGGGGCCTGTGGCTGCCCTTTGTGCCTGCTTGACCTGATGTCTAGGTGCTAATGGTTCAAGGCCCCCTGCTGTCTGTTCTTATGGTTCTTGAAACCAGAGGTGGACCAGGCAACCTTTCAAACAGAGGCCTCTGTGATGCCCACAAACAGGGCTCCATGGAAAGGCAGCAGCAATTGAAAGTGCTGGTGCCACAATGTGCACGCATGCACAGAGGAGGCGGCGATGCACAGGGAGGAGGTTGGGTGCACATGGAGACAGTGGCTGGACATGGAGGAGGTGGCTGCAGCGGCAGATGAGCACATGTGGAGGAGGCCAGGTCTGCTGACCGAGGAGACTGCCTCACATCACCTCATGGGCCGACTGGCTCTGCTACCCACATGCCAGCCCCAACCCTAAGAGCTGAGGTCGTAACAAAGCAGGGAATCTGCAGGCGTGGTCAGTAAAAAATAACTTAAAAATAGACATTTCTTGGGGAGGGTGGACAAAAATCCTTTCCGTATAACAGTATTACAGCAGGGTACGTATGGGAGCAGCCTGTAAATCTTTTGAATCTTTTTTTACTCTCTCTCACATCTGCCTTTTCTTGGCGCTTGGTGCCCTCTCCTGGCTTTTCTTTGCTTATCAATATCATCCATCCCTTTGGCAATCATATCTACTTCTTTTTCCCTCTCATTCACTATTGGGAACTAAAAAAAAAAATCAGTATCACTCCACCCACCCCCCGCACTTTTTAAAAATAGAATTGAATGAAATTTGCAGGCTATGTCATTCCTTCTACAGTGGTACCTCAGGTTAAGTATTTAATTCATTCCGGAGGTCCGTACTTAACCTGAAACTGTTCTTAACCTGAAGCACCACTTTAGCTAATGGGGCCTCCTGCTGCTGCCACGCCGCCGGAGCACAATTTCTGTTCTCATCCTGAAGCAAAGTTCTTAGCCTGAAGCACTATTTCTGGGTTAGTGGAGTCTGTAACCTGAAGCGTATGTAACCTGAGGTACCACTGTATATACACGAATCCTGTCAAATTTTAGAAATTTGCAGTGGTTTTCCCAACAGGAGCAGGTGTTACAGTTTTGGAATCTACTCCAGTTCTCCCACTTTCACTATAGGGAAACAAATAAAGAATGGCTAACACTTCCCCCATTTTGACAGAAGTGGATGAAATTTGCAGGCAAAGTACTCCCCACCCCTCTCCATTGGATAAATCCTGACTTAATAATAGGCAAATAGGTCCAAGGGCTTTTACACTGGACACCTCTAAAATGTGTCCCCCACCCCTCAAAAAGCAGCCACATGTTCCCTTTTTTATTTTCAGCAGAATTGGATGACAATTCCAGGCAATAATTGGTGATAAGAATCCTACCAAATCTCAGAAAGATAGCTGCAGTGGTTTCCCCATGATTATTGAAGGGATTATTAAAGTTTTAGTGGGCAACTGCCCTGAAAACTGGATGTGAGAGAGGTGCCTCTGGATAAGAAACTTACCAACCTGCAGACAAATAGATCCAGGAGCTTTTGTGCTAGAAATTTTTAACATTGATTTGCTGGTGGGAGCTAAGGAGGATTTGATTTCCAGGTACAAGCATTCTCTCTGATTGGCTGGGCCTGTCCGTCACAGTGGAGCTCTCCCTCTGTTCTGGTGTTTGGTCCTCCTTCCCCATCATCTGACCCTGACATGGTCCTAAACACCTGAAAGCCTGCCTCCTTCAATACAGATCCCCTCAGGTGTTATGTTCAGCAAAGGGGACCCTAATGGCTGTTCCACTCTCCTCAGGCAGTGTAGTTGTAGTCCAGGAGAAGGCATTCTCTGTGGAAGCCCCTATGTTGTAGAACAGCGTTGAGTCTGGCATCTTCATTGTACAGTGGTACCTTGGTTCTCAACACCTTGGTACTCAAACAACTTGGAACCCTAACACTGCAAACCCTGAAGTAAGTGTTCCGCTTTGCGAACGATTTTCTGAAGCTGAACATGCTCCTTTTTGAGTGTTACGCTGACGATTTGAGTGTCACACTTCCGTTTTGAGTGTTACACTGAGGTCCGTCTATTTTTGCTATTTATTTTGCGTGTTTATTTTGCAGCTCTTTTTTTGTTTTTGTGACTGTGTGGAACCCAGTTCAGCTACTGATTGACTGATTGCTTGTGTGACTTTGTGTACCTTGTTTATTGCTTTCATTTTATGGATCAATGGTCTCGTTAGATAGCAAAATTCATGTTAAATTGCTGGAACGGATTAATCCATTTTGCATGACTTTCTATGGGAAAGAGCGCCTTGGTTTTGGAATGCTTTGGTTTTGGAACGGACTTCCAGAACAGATTAAGTTTGAGAACCAAGGTACCACTGTATAGGTTTTGGTGAATGCTGAAGACACACCTCTTTACCCTGGCTTTTAACACCCAAGATACATATTTTTAGGACTCACCTCATTTCTGTAACTTGTTTGTGCTTTAATTGTTGTAACCCACTCTGGGACCTTTGGGTGAATGACAGGTATGTTCACTTTTAGGAGATGCTTGTCTGCAGCATTTTTAAAATATCTGCATCATCAAAGCACCACAAAGCACTTCAAGGGTCCTTGCTTCAAATCATGCCATCTTGCAGAGACCCAGCTTTGCCTCTGACCAACCCCAGTTTTTTCTGCAGTATCCCACTTCACCCTGGGACTCACCTTTATCTAATGCGTTCTCCTGCTCTGATGCATAAGTCAAATATTCATAGGAGGTGGCTGGGTGACTTGCTGGCAACAGGTCAAAATTAAGCAAAGATTTCATATGTGGATACAGTTCAGTTTTAAAATGGGGGGAAGTGTTCAAAAATGCCATGTACCTTAGATGATTTCACCATATAGTGTTACCTCAGGTTAAGTACTTAATTCGTTCCGGAGGTCCGTTCTTAACCTGAAACTGTTCTTAACCTGAAGCACCACTTTAGCTAATGGGGCCTCCTGCTGCTGCCGCTCCGCCGGAGCACGATTTCTGTTCTCATCCTAAAGCAAAGTTCTTAACCTGAAGCACTATTTCTGGGTTAGCAGAGTCTGTAACCTGAAGCGTATGTAACCTGAAGCGTACGTAACCCGAGATACCACTGTATTTCAAAACATTATTCCTTAGATTGAGAAGGCCTATTTTATCTTCCACAGTTTCAGTGCTTTTTCTGCAGTGTTACACCCATCGAGTTCAAGAGAACTTATTCCCAGTTAAGTAAGCATAACATTGCAGCCATCTGGTGCAACCCTTCACGTGTTTACTTATAAATATCTTCTAGTGCATTCAATGGGGCTCGCCCCTAGATAGGATCGCAATCTGAAATCTAATACCCACAAGTTGGTTGGTTGGTTTCTCCCCACCGATGTGACCTAATTACAAGTTGCGACATGGAAAATGAAGCATGCAAATTCCTCAGTTCTGCTTAGGCCCTGTGGAGAGCCCATATATCATATTCCATAAACCTTTTGTTGTGAAAAATGCAGGGGGGAGGGGAACATTTAAAATGTCGTTTCCACATTGTCCTTTCTGAGGTACCAAGTTGCTTTGAATCTTCATGAGTTGCTGCTCCATCCTTGGCGTGGTTTACGCCATCTTCTTATTCTCTGCTGTGCCACAGACTGAATAGTGGAATTCCAGAAGAAGTTTTGACAGTTTCCTGGGCCTATCGAGAGTGATGAAATGTCCACATTTCTTCAGTATATGCACTTGGGAGGCAGGGATGGCTTTGGCTAACATTTCTGCCCCGGAAGGATCCATCACCTAAACAACAAAACAATGTGTGCATTGTTTCAATTTTTTTTCTTAATATTTTTTTATTTATTTAACATAATTGTTACAAAATATAAGCAAAATATTGCAAATACATACATACATAAATATATTTTTCAAATAAGCACATATATATGAAAAAAGGAACAAAAGAGAAAAGAAGAAGAAAAGGTAAAAGAAGAAGAAAAAATAAAGAGAAAGGAAGAAGAAAAGTTGGAAGAGTTTCTTCCAAATTTATTCTACAAATATCTCAATATGAAAATAATAATAAAATTTCATTGATTGACTTCCATCTCTTACACTGCACTTCCTATATACATTTTAAGCAAGAGTGTATATGTTATTCCGTATTTTTCCCGTACAATCTCACACAAATATTCTAATCAATAATCAATAATAAATTGTTATTATTATTACCAAAGCACACTACAGGAGACCAGTTCAGGACCATTTCATGAACAGTTCTCTCAATTTGTTACATCCGTCTAACTCTACCTACAAATACATCTTGCTTTGTCCATTCCTTATGCTTACACTTCCAGAATTTATTGGACACAGTCCATACATCTTTGCTAATTTATTTGGCATTAAATACCACCTGTATATCGTTTTCATAAAAATTTTCCTTTAAAATGGGCTGTAAATTTCATATCCACTCTCCACAGTTTTTCCCCATGAGGTCATGTCAATATGATGACCTAAATCTTTAGCCCAGTGTACCCTTGCTAATTTAACCAGTTAGCTTACCTTGTCCTCCCTTCCCCAGATGATTTGCGCTGGAGCCCTGATCTTGCTCATGCTGTCATGCAAGTGGTACCTGGACTCCTTGCTGGACATGTCTAAAAAGCCTTTTCCAAGAAAGAAGCAGAGTGAGGCCTGTTTCTGTGGTCGTTTTACCCTTGAGGATTTCCAGGCATGTTGCCCTGACGTTAGGTGTGCGTCTGTTTTGCAGCAGAAGAGAAACCCAGAAGCCCAACAACCACGTTCAAACCATTTTGAATCATCAGAGGGTCACTTTGCATGTCTTCTTAGAAACACAGGGCCAGCCCCACACATGAAAAAGTGTGTCCTATCTTAATGCTGTGTGCATTGCTCCCCTGGTCTGTTTATTGTTGGTGGGAAAATGCAGATAAGCACCCTTCTTTAGAGATTGCTACAGACATAAAATGTGATATGTCCTGACACTTTTCTGTGACGAAGCAAAGGAGTGCCTAAAGTCAGCAGTCCTGAAGACCCTGTGCCCCCTTCTCCCCACAGCTGTTGCTGGACTACAGTTCCTATTATCCCTTATCACTGGCCGTGCTAGCTGAGGCTGATGGAAGTTGGAGTATTAATGACATCTGGAGACGTATGGCTTTTTTTGTTTTTGTTTTGTTTTGCAACAGTAAATTAAAAAAAGCCATTTCCACAGCCACCAATCACATGCACTGCCACCTGACAATCTCCGGCTCGCAGCAGCAACCAATCACCCGTCCCTCCTCAGCACTACCCGTGTATAAGACGACCCCAATTTTTAAACATTACTTTCACATAAAAAATCCTTGCATTATGCATGGAAAAGTACGGTAATTCTTTATTGTGGTTGATAAGTGCAAACGGTTTAATTATTATTTGCTGATGTGTAGTTTTACTGTTCACTGATTCTGATGGATTGTTGAATGTTGCTTTGTTTGATATGAAGTTGTTTATTTTAAAGTTATTGCTACTTTTTATATTGGATCAGATTGTTATTGCTTGATGTTTCATTATGTTTTCATATATGTTGGAAGCCGCCCAGAGTGGCTGGGGCAACCCAGCCAGATGGGTGGGGTATAAATAAATATTATTATTACTATTATTATTATTGTAATATTTGGGTTTATTTACAAATGCGCACGGTGGGACAGATTTTGGTCTTTCAGATTTCAGCAGAGCCCTGTACAAGGTCAAAATCCCCGCCTCACACCTCTCACCTTCTGTTCTGCTCAATTAACTACGTCATAGTTGTGATGCCCTGCAGCGCCCCCTAGGCTTGGTACCTGGCGCGGCAGAACCGGTTGCACTGCCCTAAATCTGCCTCTGCGCAAGGCCACATTCACACTATACATTTAACGAACTCTTAGGCCGCTTTCACAGCCATGGCTTCCCCTTACGGAATCCTGGGAACTGTTAGTTTGTTAAGGGTGCAGTGGGAACTGGTCGATTACAGCAAGTGGGGCACTGATGTTATGGTAATATTAAAGGTATTCTTTCAATACAGTTGGTTTCAAGCTCCCCAAACTATCAAACAACAACATGCATGTTCCGAATGTTCAGGGATATGCTGAATCTCTTACAGAATATATGTGATTTACTAAGATGTTTTTAAGTCACAGGAATGGTCTGTGAGAATCAAATGTGATCTCATTTTATAATTGCTTATATATTTAGTATGTTTGATGGGTCTGAATGCCGATATGGATGGACATGAATGTCTGAAGTATGAATGAGAACCAGATGGTTGGGCTCTGAAGAATCAAGGATAAAGACGTTATTGAATTACAGATATAGAACTGATTAAATTAATTGTGTCATTTGGTCTTTCTTGAAAATGCTCTGATAAAGGTAAAAAAGGAACCTAACTCTGTTTTTCATGACAAATCTGCCTTCTTCCTTACAACCAGTCCAGAGGGTGGCACCTGCTATCAGCTTCCTTCACCTTAAGTCTTAGCACTGTCCTTGCAGAACTCAAGCAGGGAGGAGGGAAGGGGCAAAACTAGAATTAGTTGATTGGCTGGCTCTGGCGCCACCTACTGTTGGCCTCCTGCCTAACACTCTACTTATCCTAAAGGACACCACCCTCTACTGACTTCACAGACCTACAACTCTCAGCATCCTTAACAAACTGCAGTTCCCAGGAGTTTCCCCTGACTGTTAAACATGGTACAAGAGTACTTTAACTGTATGGTGCGGATGCGAGCTAAGCTGAGCCTAGGTGCAGCCAGCCTGCTTCAAGCAGCAAATCTGCTGCCTCAAGACAACAGCTTCCATATTGCCGAACTAACAGGGAGGATAAGAGGAGATATGGTACAAAAAGTGAATAAGGAGTGGCCTACCTTTAAGGAATACATCAAAATTTATGTGGAAAAAGTAGAACTTCTGACAGATATTGAGTGAATCCAGAAAATGATTAGAGTGAAAGGAGAGCAAAGTCAAGATAGAATAAGAGATTAAAGAAATAATGAAATGCGTTTAAGCTAGTTGGAAAAATAAAGTAGCGTAACAAGAACGGCTGGAAGTCAAGTCACTTGGTGGGTGTCCGTGTGGGGTAGGTGTGTAGGTATGTTGATATGTATAGCATAGGTAGGTATTATATAGAGTAACGTAGGTATGTTTTATGTTATGAAAATAAGGTAGTGTGTTGTGTATGTGTATTGTGTAAATGTATATGTATGTGTTTTATATGTTAATAAAATTTAAATATATTTTTAAAAAACAGAACACAAGGCAACAGCTGGGCTAGGCTGCATATCTTTGTTCCATCTAGCATATTGATAGGAAACCAGGATCAGCCTCTGTGAAATTCCCCAGGCAGAGCGTAGGCAATGCTATTGAACTTACATTTTAAGAAGAAAGACTTGTGTGGCCTCCTGTCTTCCAGATAGCCCTTTAGGAGCTAAGGGGACGAAGAAAAGAAAAAAGAAAAGTAAGAAGGTCTGGAAAGGCTGGCAACCCCTGTACACAAAACTGAGCTACACGCACCAATGGTCTGACCAGATAGATAGATAGATAATTGTTTACGTTCGGAGACCAGCTTATAAAACACACTTGGGGGTACAATCCCAGAAGGAAAGCAAACATTTAAAACAATGTACAACAAGAAATTTAAAATTTATAAATGCGATAAGACACTTAAAACTAAGCAACCACAGAGACATGACCCAGAGTCACCCATGGAACTGAGTTTGGGGATTTTCTTAACGAACTAGTTTGGGTTGAGGAATGGTCTGTGTCTACACATCTGTACACAGAATCTGGTGATCATCTGGGTCGTCTTATGATCTTTGCCTAACAGGAAAAGGTCAAAATTTTGCTTTTCCGAAAGGTCAGCAAGCCTCACCAGCAGGGGATCAATGGTCTCACTACGGGCCTCTTCAAATAGTCTGACCAAAATAAGGCAGCTTCCGCGTGTTCCAAGCCAAACCTCAACACATGCAACTTTTAAGTCCGACTGCACTTGCCCCCTTTTCCTGCCATTTCACCGTTTATATTGTCTTATGCTCTTCAGGCAGAGACCTATCCTCTGTAAAGCATCATGCAGATTGATGGCACTATATAATGAATGGATGGATGAAGTTTCCAGTGCAGTTCCTTGTGGGAGCTCTCTCCTAATTAGAAGCATAGAAATGTAGTCTTGTGAGGGATCCCAAGGGTGGCCTAGAGTGGCTGGGGCAGCCCAGCTAGATGGATGAGGTAGAATGAAGAAGAAGAAGAAGAAGAAGTCCAACTTTCTGCAATACAGCAATCACAGCTAAAAATCATAGATTCATAGAATTGTGGAGTTGGAAGAGACCCTGAGGATCATCTACCAGTCAGGGACCGTGCTGAGGAGGGCTGCACCGAGGAAGAATGGTGGGAGCTTCCCCCTCCCCCCTCCCCTGATCCTGAATCTTCCCAGGAGTAGGAGGACAGTATAGATTTGGAACCGTGGTTTGCAGAAGGGCATAGTGCAGAAGGCAGAAGCTGGGAAATACTGGATGGGGAACAGCTAGCAGAAGAAAAACTAGAAGAGAGAGAGTTAACAGATTCACAGTCTCTGGATAGTATCCACACACACCCCTTCCCCAAAGACACGGAGAGCTCATAAAGTGTCAGCTTAGAAAGCGCAGAGACTACAGACTCAGATTACAAAATGTGGGAGTGACGTGGATTAACATGGACGGAAGGGGGAGTGACCTTTACTGGGAGCACCGCCATTCTGGTTAGATGCTTTCTTTTGCCCTTTGCTGTGTTTATTAAAGAAACTAACTGGTAAGAATTCCTTTCGTTTGATCTGCTCATTTACAGCCACGGGGGGGGGGGCTGATTCCCCGAACCCTGACACTAGCCCAACCCCCTGCAATTCAGTAATATGCAGCTGTCCCATACAGGGATCGAACCTGCAACCTTGGCATTAACAACACCACACTCTAACCAACTGAGCTTAAGAATCCCTGACAAGTGAAAAGTTGCAAGTTCACCAAACACAGTCTATTTACCCAGCCTTCTGTTTCAGATTTCGTCTCGTGCCTCTCCTGCCTGTACCACCAAATGCTGCAGAAGACAGGCAGGCAGGCAGGTGGACAAGCTTGCCAAGGTCTGGGACATTGTTCCAAACTATTAGGCCAGAGTCCTACAATTTTTCAGGGCGCTACCTCTTCACCTGCATGTTTGTACTGCTGGGATGGTATAAGCCAAGTCTGAGCAAACTTTCTCCCTGTTTTACGGTCAAAGGAACCAGAGGGTTGCTGTGTGAGTTGGTAGACTTCCGCAGCTCCTTCAAATGTTTGATGAACTCATTATCTGCTGCATACCGTAGGCCTAAAGAGTTGGGAGGAAATGTGTGGCTTAGAAATGTAGTTACTGGTCAACCGGTTGCTATAAATGGGAGATCTGGAACCACAGAACAGTGCTGAAAGTCCACAATAGCCTTTGCCAACCTGACCCCATCTAGATATTGGACCACAACTCCCATCAGCCCCAGGCAGTAAGAGCATGCTGGCAAGGGCTGATGGGAGTTGTAGTGCAGCAAATATCTGCAAGGCCAAGTTGGTAACAGCTGGAATAGAAGTTGGGACTGGAGTGAGCTAATGGAGCAAGGAATATTGCTGGTGGCTACCTCAATAGTCCTAGCACAGTTGCCAAATGTGGTATGCTATTGATATTAACATATGTGTTAGGATAATAATTTCAAATTTATGTAAGAATGTATGGGTTAGGTTCCTCCCCGTATATTGTATATATTTGTATACAGTGGTACCTCGGTTTTCGAAAGCACCTCAGAAGTCAAACAGCTTACGTTGAGTGTTTCTCAATTTTCTCAATTAAATCAGCAGACCTCCCTTTGTGCTTCGGTTTTTGAATGTTTCAGAAGTCGAACAGTCTTCCAGAGTGGATTACGTTCGAAAACCGAGGTACCACTGTGTCTGTCTGTGAAGAGTAGCTACTCTCTGAGCAGCACTGAGAACGAAACACTGTACAGTGGAACCTCGGGTTGCAAATGTGATCTGTGCGGGAGGTACGTTCTCAACCTGCAGTGCTGCGTCTGCGCATGTGCATGACGCGATTTGGCGCTTCTGCGCATGTGCAAAGCGTGATGGCCAAAACCCAGAAGGAATCCGTTCTGGTACTTCCGGGTTTTGGTGCGTCCATAACCTGAAAACGCATAACCTGAAGCGTCTGTAACCCGAGGTACCACTGTACCTTTTGAACACATTCAAAGCACATTTTTCCACCTCAGATAATTCTGGGCTTGGTAGTTTGTTATGTGTTGCTGGGAGCGGGAACTCTGTGAGGGATAAACTGCAGTGCCCAGGATTCTTTGAGGGGAAGAATGTGCTTTAATAGTACAGTGGTACCTCAGGTTAAGTACTTAATTTGTTCTGGAGGTCCGTTCTTAACCTGAAACTGTTCTTAACCTGAAGCACCACTTTAGCTAATGGGGCCTCCTGCTGCCGCCGCGCCGCCGGAGCACGATTTCTGTTCTCATCCTGAAGCAAAGTTCTTAACCTGAAGCACTATTTCTGAGTTAGCGGAGTCTGTAACCTGAAGCGTATGTAACCTGAGGTACCACTGTATAGGGCTAGTTTCCATATACACTCACACAGTCCTCTCTATCCTTCAGTCAGACAAGCAAGAGGCAATCATCGGTGTTCAAGGACAAATTGCAGCCAGGAATCTGGGATGCAAAGCAAGGTTGGTGAGAGGGTTGTGAGCTGGGGAGAGTTTGGAGGATGAAATAGAGAGGCCGAGGGGTTGTGGGAGGTGGGGTTGCATCTGGTCCCCAGGTCTGACATTCCCCACCCCTCCTCAGACACTCACCAGGTGGGCAAAGGAGAGACAAGTGAGAGACATCAGATGGATACTGAGCCGCATAAATACCAGCAATTGTTCCGCCCATGGACATGCCAACCAGGTGGAAAGGCTTTTGGTTCAGGCCAATGCACTCAACAAACTGAAAGAAGGAGCATGAGGTTAAGCTGGATGTTAAAGGTGTCCTTACCGGTTTAGTCACTTCTGCCCTTCAGCGGAGGTGGGGTTGTGGGCTTCACGGCCCTACCACACGCGCAGTGGCTGGAGCCCAGCTACCGTGCGATTGGGGGGATTCCCGGCCGTGTCACCACCTGGCCAGCCAATCGGCTGGCTCTGGGGGCATGGCCTGCCCTATTTAAGGCAGGATCTCCCTCTTTGCCGCTCCACAGCTGTTTGGCTTTCCCACCCTCCCGCCCTTTAAGGTTTTGTCTTTGACCTTGCTATGGACCTTGGTTGGTCGCTGTTGAGGGGCCTGGTAGGAATTTTTCCACTTGGCAAATTGGCACCAGCCACTTGGTTTTTGCCTACCTTGTAGCAAATCGTCACAACATTCTGGGTATTGGTGGTTAGGCATTGGTATAGTTCTGTAGATGGAAGAGGGGAGGTAACGCCATCACCTGCCCCCCACGTGGAAGGGTAGTCCGATAAAGGATTCCGGGGGGGCGTGGCCCTATCCGAAGCCTAAGGAGGTGAGGGCCTAAGGCACGCCCCCTATCGGTGACCCGGGGAAGTTCCTAGTTGATGTGCATCAGCAGGACTCCCCCTACTGGTGGTTAACCCTTCCTGGACTTCAAGCAGACGGGCTGAAATCGGATATAGTCGGTTAGGACCAATGCCTAAGCCAATACCGCTCATCACCTGTAACCAATAAAGCTGTGGTCTTTTTTAGCCCATTAACCTTAATAATTGTGTCATGCATCATTATTTACACCTGGTGGGGGCGGGAACTCGCCATGCAAAGGGAATTTCCCAAGCAAGTCCCTAGCTGCTGCCAATCATTCCTACTTTGGATTCTCTTTAAAATAATAGTCAGCAGAGGCTGTGGAGCAGGAAGGTTCTCAAGGAAAGCTGAGCCCAGGAGACGTTGCCTTTCGCAGGAATGGGAAAACTGCAATGCACCCTGCTGGTGAGCAATTGCAAAACCAGCTCCTTGGCTCCAGCTTAAGCAATCGGAGCCAAGGCAATCTCCATATTTCATCGATCAGCGACGGTGACGCCCTTACCAGTCCAGAACCACTTGCTTGCCAGCCTTACCTGGTGTATCATTTTCGCTTGGTTAACTGCCGTGTAACTTTCTGCCAGCAGGCGAGTGGTTTCTCCGTGGCCTGGCATGTCAAGGCAGACCACGTGGAGGTCCTTAGGAAAGAGCTGGGGAAAGACGGCATCGGAAATGAGACCAAGAATTCAAAGCAACCATAATTGGGCTGGTCATTATCGAAGGGGTGGAGTGGTTGATGTGCCCAAATAAATACCATTACACCCTTCTTTAGCCTATGGTATAAAGAAACATATACAGTGAGAAAATGTTTGAGTGTATTATGGAGTGGGTAGATAGGATTAAGTTAAAAAGGCAGAGCTGCAATGCCTGAGATGCACGATCATGCAAACAATAAGATTTACCACTTGGTCATCCACTCCCTCTTTATGATATGGTCCCTTTTTCCCCCTGGAGCATGGGGTAGTTGGGCAGCTGAATGCCAGACTTTAAATCTAATGCAACAATCACTCCTCTCCCAACCCAGGAGCAGCCAGGTTGTTACTGGATTACAACTCCCATCACAGGAACATTAGAAGGGAACATCTAGTCCAGCATGCTGTTCTCATAGTGGCCAACCACATGGCTTATGGGACCATCCTTGACTATTGGCCATAGGGCCTGCAGGAGTTGTAGCCCAATAGCAGCTGGGGGACACCAGCTTGGCTCCCTTTTCTAGATCAACAAGCCTGGCCTCACAGCTGTACTTCCACAATTTTGATCCAGGTTGCTCGGTCCCTGCTCCTGCCAACCTAGCAGTTTGAAAGCACGTCAAAGTGCAAGTAGATAAATAGGCACCGCTCCGGCAGGAAGGTAAACGGCGTTTCCGTGCACTGCTCTGATTCGCCAGAAGCGGCTTAGTCATGCTGGCCACATGACCCGGAAGCTGTACGCCGGCTCCCTCGGCCAGTAAAACGAGATGAGTGCCACAACCCCAGAGTCGGCCACAACTGGACCTAATGGTCAGGGGTCCGTTTACCTTTACCTATGGCATCTTAATACATTGCATCAGAGGTAGGGAAACTATGGCTCCTCCAGATGTTGCTGGAGTAACGTTCCTCTCACCCATTCCATTGGCTATTGCGGCTGGTGCTGATGGGAGTTGGAGTCCAACAGCATCTGGAGGGCCACATGATGCCCCCAACCCCTGAACTACAGAAAGATGAGGATGCTGTGTGTCCTTAGGGCAGCTGCTCACACTTTACGTCTCACCGGGGAAACTCTTGCCTTTTCGACAATGGCTTGGGGGGCGGGGAATGCCCCAAGTCAAATGCTGAAGGTGTAAAAGTTGGGTACGTTTGGTCATTTCCAACAGTCTCAGGGAAGGCACAAAAGAGACATGAAAGTTGCCCGATTGGAAAAATGGAAACCTACTTTGATGGTGTCTAGCCACATATCTTTGTTGAATGAAAAGCCATGAAGCATCAGCACCGATGGCTGGGAGCCCGGTTTCCCTCGGCAGAAATAACAGAACCTGTAGCCCTCATGTTCAACGAATTTCACCTTCATGCCCCTCTTCAGACGCTTGCACCTAAAAGCACAGAGAGAAGCAAGATGAAGAGACTGGTGGTTCTTCAGAGGAAGCACTTCCAGTTAAAGTGAGGAGCGGAAGGAGCCGCCTAACTCTACCATGAGGAGAAATTAGTTTTGGTTTGCATTATAATGCCAACCGGCCTAACTTGTACTTCCTGTACCAATATGGAATTGAGTTGGAAGGTCATCTGGTCCAAGCCCCTACAGCACCAAAGTGACACCCCTGAGGCAACAGACCTGGGCAGAGTGTACAGAGGTCCTGGGCTGCCCAGACAACAAGACCCTCCTCTCAGCCTCGCTGATGTGGTCCAAAGGAAAGCAGAGCAATATGTTTGGCTGCAAGAGTTGCTGGAAGGAGACATGCAAAGTACCATCCAACCATCTTAGGGACTCCACACTTGTGTAGGGTTTACTCCTTAGCCTTTTCTTCTCCAAAATACACTCCCCAAGGCAAGGGGTAGGGGTAGGATTCAGAGCCAAGGATGAGGGACTCCTGTGTGATCTCTCATCCAGGTTTTATGTAAGACCATACATGCTGATGCTCGCCTCTCTTTGACCAAGGCATTACAAGTCACCCCATATATCTCCCTAGGTAAACACTTACCTGATCATGATCCTGAACAATAGTAAAGTCCAGTGGGAATACCGCCTGTTAAAGATGGTTGAAAAGATACCCACAAAGAAGAATGCAATCAGCATCAGCATCTTGCCCAGAGTGAAATTCATGCCAACTAGTTAAGGTTCTCTTTACTTGCCTGCGTAGTAAACATTTAGACAACAACAGGAAAGATTAAAGGGGTACAGGTAATAAAAAATACAGCTCAAAATGTTGTTGTTGTTGTATTTATACCCTACCAATCTGGCTGGGTTTCCCACTCTGGGCAGCTTACAGCACATAAAACATTGTAAAACATTAGACATTTAAAATTTCCCGATACAGGGCTGCCTTCAGATGCCTTCAAACTGAGGTTGAAGCACATCTTAAGGGACAGCAGGTAAACAACTCAGTTTCCTTGCCCATAAAGTCCTATCTACTAATAGTGAATTCACTGAGTATCAAAATTTACACAGCCAAAATATAAGAATAATATCATCCATGCACATCACCCATGTAACCCCAGGCTTTGGAAAACACCAAGGCTTGCAGGGTGTGGGTGGGTGTGAAGAGAAAGAAGGACAGAAAGAAAATAAGCCCAAGGGGTGCGGGGCCCGATGAGGGCTGAGCATGTTCCATGGCCAGAAACCACTAAGTATCTGTTGGAGTAAAATAACAGGAAGCTGGGGGAATGGAAAAGGACACAGCTATCTGGCCAAAAAGCTGCACAGGACCAGCTCACCACAGTCCAACGTTCTGTGGCAAGCCCCACTTGTACTATCAAAGGGTTGTATCATCATTCTGTTGACGGAAGCCAGTTTAATTCAGCAGAAGTACCTGTTAGCTAAATGGGATGGGTGACTATTTTTGATGATTTGCCCTCCCCTCTGCAGCCTCTGGTGCCACCTCCCATGTTGTTCCAAAGTGTCCACCAAGCCTCTAATGAAGAGTGGGCAGTGGAGTCTGCAGGGTGTGTGTTTGTGTGTGAATATGCAGAAGTTGCCCTCCGTTCCTGATCCACTGATGCATGCAAGCATCTGCTGGGTCAAAAACCTCCCTTCATGGGAGCAACACAACTGGACACAACCCCAAGTCTGAGTGTGGATGAATGGTTCTGCGCAATCAGGGTTAAGCCACATTGAGAAACAGGCAGCCAGCAGCTTCTGAAGGAATGGTATATGCATTCCAGTCACTGCCACTACGCCAACAGTTTATGCTACCCAGTAAAGATCTATTTCACCCCAAACTTAATGGTTTTTAGCCCAAGCATCTTGCGTAAATCTCAGGGATATTTCCCAGCACTAGCAGAATTCCAGCAACATAAATACAATGGACAACAAACCTTCCTCTTGTACGCCGTACTGAGCTCAGCAAAGTGTCCAAGGATGAGTTGTTCTACACAATGTACTACACAATCAATGTTGTGTTATGATACAGGATTTACATCATCTCAGCAGGTTGATCCACCTGCCTCTTCCCACTGACATAGCCAACGTGCTTAGAGAGGCTGACAAATACATAAATGGCAATCTCACTCCCATTTCTGACATATGCTGAAACTTACCTGGGGTGGGAAGTTGTGAGCTGTTCTCCAACCTCACTTTTTCACTGCTGTCACGGCTGTGGGCATCTGCGTCTTGTAGCAGGCAGGAGGAGCTTGCAAAGTTGTAAACAATTTCTTCCCCAGGTCGGTGGAGGTGTTACGATAATAATTTCTTCCGCCGACACCCTGCCAACGCCCTTTGATGCTACTGAATATTCCAGAGCCTGGTTCATATTGATGTCCGTCTCACTGTGAGACTGAAACCACCAGGAGTTTTGTCACCAAATGATTAGTGTCCCAGACTGATACATCCCTCAAATCAGCTTTGTTCCTGTCTTGGTTGACTCCAGATGGATGGTCCCAGGGTCTGGTCTGAAGGCACCTTGCTGAAGCTAAACAGGTTCAAGTCTGGTCAGGGTTTGGATGGGCAACCCTATGGAAGCCACATGTACACTGCTTTGGGTATCATGAAGGAAGAAGAAAGGAAGGATATACATGAAAAAAGAAAGACCTCATCTCACTTCACAGAGAAATCAAGGTGACTGTTTTCTGGAACCAACTACCACTCATGTGAGAGAGCCAGTGTGGTGTAGTGGTTAAGAGCGGTTAATCTGGTGAACTGGGTTCGATTCCCCGCTCCTCCACATGCAGCTGCTGGGTGACCTTGGGCCAGTCACACTTCTCTGAAGTCTCTCAGCCCCACTCACCTCACAGAGTGTTTGTTGTGGGGGAGGAAGGGAAAGGAGAATGTTAACCGCTTTGAGACTCCTTTGGGTAGTGATAAAGCGGGATATGAAATCCAAACTCTTCTTCTTCTTCTTCATGTGAATGATAACTGCCTACCCTCCTGTCCCACACAATCAAGGGGTACTATGAGAAAAGCTATTAGTCCATCTTTCCCTTGGCCAAAATGGTTCCGTTACAGCAGATTTGAGGAACCATATATTGCTGGACTATAGCTCCCAACAACTCGGACAACTGGTCATGCTGGCTGGGGCTGATAGGAGTTGGAAGCCGCACATTCCCCCATCCTGGGTTAGAGGAAGCACTGTCCAATTTTTCGGGATGTCTCAAGTGCCCTAGAATGCCATCGGCATCAATTTCCTGTGGGATGTGTTCCAAGAGCGTGCGCACATTTGCATTGTTGTTGTTTAGTCGTTTAGTCGTGTCCGACTCTTCTTGACCCCATGGACCAGAGCACGCCAGGCACTCCTGTCTTCCATACATAATTTTATTTGTATGTCCGCCTTTCCACAGTTCAAATCATGGTTGACGCAGCTTACAGCATGAAGAAAAACACAGAAATACAGCATAACAAAAGTAGTCAAAACCAATAAATAAAACGATACAAAATACAAAACCATACTGAACCATTTCCACATACATCAAAATCTAAAATAAAGATACAAAAACCCACCAGCAACAACCCTCTGCCAACAACACCCTCCAACCACAGAGTCTGTTCAGCAGCCTCAGCTTTCGTAGCTGGAGCCAGTCAAGGCCTCACCCTCCCAGGCCAGGTAGAAAAGGCCTGCAAGGCAGGGAACAGGTCTTCCGGGACTCACAGCCAAGATCTGCTGCTTTTGTAACCATTGACAAAGAAAAACAATGGATTACTTGTGTGTCACCGGAAATTTCTCACCACCCTTTTCTCATATGGTTGGAGCATATTTTTTTCCTTTCCCCTTTAAAAAGAAAAATGTTTTCTTCAAAGACGAATGTTGTGTGTTCTCATTCCTCTGGATTTGTGTAAATCCACTAGTTGGCCAATTCAGAATCCCAAGTGGTGGATTTGGAGGGAGGGGGAAGGATATAACGTCATCCCTCAAAAAACACTACAGTGGTACCTCAGGTTAAGAACTTAATTTGTTCTGGAGGTCTGTTCCTAAACTGAAACTGTTCTTAACCTGAGGTACCACTTTAGCTAATGGGGCCTCCCGCTGCTGCCACACGATTTCTGTTCTCATCCTGAAGCAAAGTTCTTAACCCGAGGTACTATTTCTGGGTTAGCAACCCTGAAGCGTCTGTAAGCTGAGGTACCACTGTACTACTCCTACACCTACTCCTGAGGCTCTAATTCCACTAATCCTTCCAGGATACTTTAAAGTAGGGGAGTAAACCACAAGCCTGGGGAGTTGTCAGGAACTGGTGTCAAGCGTAGGTCGTCAATCAAAGAATATACGGTGTCAGTGAAGTTAACACTTTATTCAAAGAAACCAAAACAGTGCAGCCTTAGTGATCCCAACAACTCTTCCCAGCAGGTCTTGTCCCAATGAGGCAGCTGCGAGAACTGAAGGTCCCCATCTTCCCACCGCTTGCTAAGGCACCTCATCTCCAGGGTCTTTCTTAAGCAGTTGCAAACCCCCTCTGTTCTGCCCTCTTCATTTCTCTGTATGTCCTAGGAGACCAGGAGGAGGGGAGCGGGTTGCAGCAGGAGGGGGAGACTCCCTGGCTTCTTCAGCAGCCTACCTCTCTGTCTCCTGGCCCCGCACCCCTCCAGCCTCCGCTTCTGCCTCAGAGTTTGAACTGCCCTCTACCACAGACTCTTCCTGCTCACCAAACCCTGTGACCTCATCTGCTTCTGACACTTCTCTCAGTCTGCTCCCTCTGACCACTCACTGTTGCCCCACCACCAGTCCCCTGGTTCTGAGACTTCTTCCCCTGGGGGTTCCCCAGCTGGTGTCTCCCTCCACTCCTCTACATCCAGCCAGTCCATGACAGGAGATGAATGCAGCCCTCCAAGTTTCCCAGTCCAGCCCTCCGTACTCTCTCCAAGTCAATCCCCATCACTAGGTCACAGCCCTGCTGCATGCCCTCATTGGATTCTATGCCCTTGATCCGGGAATACAGAAAAACCTGCTTTTGCTTGACCAGGACATAAACTATTGTACAAAGGGAAAAGTCACATCTGTTGCTCCACTCACTCATTGCGCCTGAAGTGAGCAAGTGAGGTCCTTGGGCTGAAAAAATGCTCCTTTCCCCTTGCTTTAAACTTCAAGCCTAGTATCATCTTTCCCTTTCTCTTCATAGGACTAAAAAGCTCCTTTTCTTTTCTTTTTGTGGAAAAAAAAATCTTTATTGAAATTCATTAATGTCATTACAGATTTAACTTCACGCATACACATACATACAAAGAAAATATATATTCTTAAATTAATTTACCATAAGGTGTTAATTTAAACTTCTAGTTCCACTTAGATTTCAACTAAGCTAAGATCAAATAATGTGACATAAAATAAAGTAACCGATAACAAAATAAAGTAAAATAAAATAAATGTAGACTTCCCATCCTTTCCCAATATAGTTGACCTTTATGATTTTGAATGTACTTATAATTATTACCTTACATTTAATATACTTTCTAATACTTTCGTACAACATCTTGTACCGATTTTTATTTATTTCTTAATATTTTACGTACACAAGGGTCATTCAAACACTACCATAGATAATATGTCGCTGTTGTTTTTTGTATCTCTTAAACATTTCCAATTTTTGAGAAAATGATTGTTTTGTGTTACCTCTTAACCTATCTGTTAATTGAGCCATTTCCACATAATCTAATAA